AGAGTTCAGCAATGTCCGCATAGTTCCTTGCAAATTCTTGTTCAGCTGCTGTCTGGTGCTCCACAGTGGCAAATGGGTTTCTCCCAAACAGCGACACTCGTGTCAGAGAGGACCCCACTTCCTGATGATAGCAGTCTGCAGCATCTGTAGCTTCAGGCAAAAGATCTGCAGGCAGTCTCTTTGGGCACCCACCATGAGCAAGTTGATCTGGGATACCCTTACCTTAAAAAAAACACAAATAAGTGGCCATTGTTAGTGTAATGTTACATATCATGCATATCAATGAACCTCACACAGCGTGTAATCATAGCCTGCCCTTACAAAAAATTGTACTTGTGCTATTAGTACAGTTCTTACAAACTTTAAAAAGTATGTTTTTAATTTGACTGTTTATGTACTTACCAAAAATATATGTTTAATGCAATAAGAGCAATCTATAAACTAGATAGTAGATATGTCTTTACTCAGACAATTATTGAAATATTGTAATATATACATGCCACATTTAAACATTTCCATCAACCTAGTGTAAAAAAGGGGATACAGAGAGAAACAAATGTAGAATATAAGTACAACTTATAAAAATGCATAAAGAAGGTCATTTGTTATGGGGCTTAAGTAACATTCTGAAAACTGCTATACAAACCTTGGATTCTGTGTGCATTCCAGGACTGCACCATCCGGTCAAGTCCAATGTTGGCTACCTGACAGGTAAGAGTGGACACACAATGTGATGTTGTCTTCGAGGTTTAGTTCCTCCTGGTCAACAAGGTGGTTGAGTGCGCCTTTCAGAGGGTAGTTTACCCTGTTGTTTACCTCTGGCCACATCCTTTCTATAATATGATTCTGTAATTTAAAGTAAACAAAAATGAGAAGAGTCAAATGTAGAGAGCACATAGTAATTTCCCAATTTCTTTCCGAATTTCCGGCTTTGTATTTGATCCATTTCATGTTGTATCCAGTTCAAAAGTACTGTGTATCTCTCCTATGTCATAGGAAAAAGCTAGCAGTCCCCTAGAGAAGTTTAGTGAACGTCATGGGTCTATTGACGCTTTATCAGCTAGCAGTTGGGTGAATAATGGAATGAGATCAGAAATCTTTTATTTGTCTCGCCACAGGGTAATTTACACGATTACAGCAGATAAAGTGAGGAATAAAAGACACAAATGGCTATGTGGGGATTGTCCACAGTATTGAGTATGTAAGTCGCTTTGGATAAAAGCGTCTAACAAGTAACATGTAATGTAATGTATGAACACGTTGATTGCAATTCAGATACAAAAACAACTCGCCTGTGTTGACTTTGTTTGCATGTATGGCTGTCTGACTGTGTTATTCCGGTAGTCTGCCAATTTCTCCTGCATGAAAAGAGTCAAGTAGAATTATTTTCCATGGTCTACTCGGATTTGGTCCCACATTCCATATCGTAGGACAGCACTCCTGCAAAACAGCAATACAAAAGTCTTATGACATGTAACAGAATTTCATGTTTGTTGTTACAACCTAAGCATTGCTAAAGATAATTTTATACGCAGTTAAAATGTTGATCTCATCAATCAATTACCAAGTAACGTACAATATACAGTGGTTACCTGTCAGTAGTTTTCGATTTACAATATTTTTCCCAAATAAAACTGTTCAAATAAAGCTACATTTAGCCATTGTGTTTTTATTTAGCTAAATGTTTACTAAATGATTTACTGTCTGCTGTTTACAACCTTTTTATTAGGTTATTATTATATTATTATAACAGAAACAGCAGCGTTCAGTTATTATGCTCCAAATATCTGGAACAAACTCCCAGAAACCTGCAGGTCCGCTACAACTCTTACTACTTTTAAATCCAGGCTGAAGACTTATCTTTTTGTCGCTGCTTTTAATTTTAATTGAAACTGAGCCGTTGTGTTCATCAGTAAAGTGGAACTTCTGTGTGAACTATTCATATCTTAATGCACTGTAACTTTTTATTCATGTACTTTTTATTCATGTATTTTTTCTTTTAATGTTTCTTTTATTATCTTTTACTGTTTTTAAATGCCTTTGTCTAAATGTCTTTCATTTTTGTAAAGCACCTTGAATTGCCTTGTGTTGAAAGGTGCTATATAAATAAACTTGCCTTGCCTTGCCTAAGAATGATGCACTTCTACAAACAAAAACAACATAATTAAAACATTTAAACAAACTACGTCGTCAGGGTATAGGACCCAATTGCACAACCCAGGAGACAGAGGTAAAGTATTTGTAAGATAAAAATAACACTTTCTAACCTGCTTTTTTACCAAGTCACTAGAAAACTATATTTATTTTTTTGTCGTTATCTTCCGCCACACATTCACATACTGTAGATGGAATGCAGAAGGAACGACAGAGATTAGTATAGTTATGACACTGGGAAAACTGGTCAGATTAAAAGATAGCATTCTCTATCATATGATCTTGTTTTGTTCATTTCTAAGGTGATGCAACATTTCAGAAAAATGTGTGACGTTTCAATGGCTTTTATTTGATTTCTATATAAACCCTTGATAGATGTCAACTGTCACAGAAGGTGAGGTTTCCAATATCCCAGATGCTGAACCGGACTATATTTGAAGACACGGAAATAATACAACACTTAAAAGAAAGGAGGATAAACTCTTTCCCATCTTATTATCTTTTCATTTGGGGTAAGTACATGTTTAAGTAAATATGTTGACTTCTGTACAGTTATTAACTTTGTTTGTGTGTGTCTAAGTGTTAGTGACCGAGAGAGTTCTTTTGTGTTTTCATTGTCACAATACTTATTGTAAATAATCTCTGCCCTACTTTAAGGAAATATTATTATATTATAATAATTGCGGAAAATAATTGATGTTTGTATCAAACCAATTCCCCTAGGATGGTTTGGGTATCATTATAGCAGTATATATATATAGTATAGCATTACTTGCTACTTCTGATGGTAAATCTATGTATCATTTGATTTTATAGATTAAAAGAAAAACAGGATGGGTATCAAACGGATCATATCACTCGCCCTGATTCTAATAGGTAAGTGTGATAATAAACTGATTACTTTGAAGGTACTTCATACTGTTTGTTTATTCTATTAAAAGATGAGATAACATGTAGATAAGGTGGAGTTCTTGCCAGCTCATTATCCAATATTGCTTTATCCACGTTGGCACAAACAACACGGCATGCCAACAATCGGAGGTACTTAAGCCCGATTTTACCACTCTCTTTAAATCGCTTAAGAAGTGCAACAAGTCTTTTTTTATCTCCGGGCCGATCCCCTCTCTCCGTCGAGGCGTGGGGCGTTTTAGCAGGCTGCTCAGCCTGAACACATGGCTGGAGACGGCATGCTCCGCGAACAACTTGATAATGATGGACAATGTTAATCTTTTCTGGGAGCGGTATTCTTATTTTAGCAGAGATGGCCTCCACCCCAGTTCACAGGGTAGCCGTGCTCTGGCTGCTAACATTTTCCATGCTGTCTACACTGCTAAACAGACCTGACAATTCAGTACCATATCCCACCGAGACATGATAACACCGGTCATTACAACTACGACTATTAGAAACTCTCCCTGCCTGCCAGTAGCTTTGCCAATATCTGTGTTGATAGGTAATAGAGTAAGAGTGGTGAATCAGCTTAGAAACAAGAAGCGCTCAAACGTTTGTGTGAATTTATCAAATTTAGCAGTGATTCCATGCCAGCTGTAAGGGAAACTTCTGTGTAGCAATGCAGTGGGAGTCACCGACTCAGGAAAGAGACACGGGAAGAGCAGGAGCTTTGATGTCAAACACTGATGGTTTATTTGGAGCTTCGGCCGGGGAATTAATATCACAAGTCCAAGAGCCAGAGGTTCTGACTTCACGGTAGAGTTGCCACGTCAATTCTGGAGCGCCTCTCTCTCGTTAGCCCATTTAACTGGTTTCGCAGAGAGTAATCAACATATTTGAGAAGATAGCCTAAACAGTTGGGAACACTGAGTTACTTGCGTCTGACACTTATGGCCTCGAAGATTTCACACCTTGGAGTCCACAAACACAGAGAAGGAAGTGTCCCAGTGTACCCACAACAATAAACCATCTGTGATCTAGGGTTGCCCGGTCATAGAAAGGGAACAACAACATTATGGCTGAAGCAGCCTATCTCCTTAAAGGAGATAACAGACGTCAGGGTTGGTCATGCACTTCATATCTAGGAGTCTAAGACAATTATTTCCCTAACACCAGCCACAGCTTGTCACAAACAATCTGACTAATAGTGTGTACAAACTTAAACTAGCTTTATTAAATGTCAGGTCTTTGGCAGGAAAACACATTTTAATCAATGATTTTATCACTGAGCACAATCTCGATTTTATGTTTTTAACGGAAACTAGGAGTGAACAAAACAACAGCTCAGCTCTTCTTATCGAATCAACCCCTCCCAATTTTAGTTTTATGAGTCAGGAAAGAATGCATAAGAAAGGAGGTGGAGTTGCTATTTTGTTCAATGATTCCCTTCAATGCAGAATTATGTGGCCCTTCAGCTGAAATGCTCCTCTCGAGCTCTTGTTACGATTATTGTGTTATGTCACGTTTTGTATGTCTTGTTTTGGGTGTTTTGCTGTTCTCCCTGTCGTGTTTTCCTCCGTGTATATTGTCTGGTCCTTTTCCCTGTGTTTTTCCTCCTGTCGTTAGTTTCCCTGGTGTGTCTAGTTGTCTGATTGTGTTCACCTGTGGCCCTTGTGTTTCTCCTCCCCTGCCCGGCTGTTTCTCGTCTTGTGATTACCCCTCCCTGTATTTAGTCTTGGCTCTTCCTGTGTTCAGTGTTGGTTCGTCTTTTGTTGGTGACTGAGTTCACCGGGGAGTGTTCTGGTTTGTCCGAGTTTTATTCATATCCTTGAAATAAAGGTGTTATCAGTTTATTCTGCATTTGGGTCCTGCCTGCTTCACTCTACCGTAACAGAACCAACCAACCAAGAATGGACCCAGTGGACAGTTTGTACGAGGTGGAGTACACTGTAAAAACCAACCTATAAGATCTACTCAATAAAATGGGGGTAACAATTTGCACACACTTCTTTTGAGTAGATTTTACCCAATGTTTTTGGGTAAAGGTTACTAATATTTAATATATAAGATTTACTTTAAGAAATTAAGTAAAATCTAACTCAATTACTTAAAACATATTATATATAAATGAGTAATATTTACTCTCAATCATAGGCAGCTGGGTAAAGGTTACTAATATTTAATATATAAGACTTACTTTAAGAAATTAAGTAAAATCTAACTCAATTACTTAAAACGTATTACTTATAAATGAGTAATATTTACTCCTAATCGTAGGCAGCTATTTACTTAATAATTGATCCATATTACACATTAATATTACTTTATTAGTAAGGTTACCAGTAAACAATATATTGCCACACAAGATTTTATTGATCATGTTTTTTTTATTGACCAAATGTATAAGTGCAATATGGCCATACATTGAGATTATTTAAACAGTTAAGTGCATTTCAATTGTTAACACCGAGCAGAATCTTCAAAATAGTCATACAATCACATTGTTTTAACAGTAAAGTGCATGGAAATTGTAATTTTTTTTAACATAATCTTCCAAGTGCAATTTACTCAACTATTAAAACCTTTACGTGCCAGTAATAAACAGTCCACTTTTAACAGAACAAGGTTTCTCCACATCCATTACATTCCACATCTCATTATGTTGTGTTTGTGTCACTCGGCACTAAAACAAGTCAACATCCACTTCAGAACAAATTGTTTATTTGCGGCTCTGCACCCGTTTGAGTAGCTTGGCTCCATCAAGCTCCAAAAACTGTTTTTAGAATACCTCAAATGTGTATTTGAGCTTGTTGGGGTATTCCAGGTTGAGGGCGTAGATGAATCCCATCAACAATGCGCATGCCTTTGTTTGGTTTCCGCACAAATTCAAAACTCTGTCTCCCTCTATGACAATGGACACATCTGCTGGTCCCATGGCATCATGGATCACAAGCACCTTCATAGTTTGGTCCACGACGTTGTCAGGCTCGTCCTCCATGTTGAAAATAAAGAAAAGCATATTCACTTTAAATTAGGCATATTAACAAGAAGCTATTATACAATATAGGCTTTGTGGTCTAGCATTAATCCTAATCAATAAAACCAGGGATTGACTTTTAAAAAAAAAAGGATTTGTAAAAATGTGTGGCAGCGATTAAAAACAAAACAAGATTTCTAACTTATATAAAAAATGTCAGGCCCAGTCAAATTGCCCATCGATCTAATCAATGACATTAAATTGATTCTTTCCCATAAACATAACTTTTCAGTGCATGATTTTATTTATCTTATTTCACTTTAACACCAAAATAAGGTTTTTGTTTTTAGGTAGTTGTATATGTTAAGTAGCTAAGAACATCAGTAAATTATCCCTAAATCATGTTCCTGTGAATGCTAAACCATTTATAAAAACAATAAGATGTTTAGAGATTTACAGCAATAAATTGCATATTTATTTGTTATGTGTCAGAGTGGTTAATCACAGAAATTAAACAATGGTATCAGAGCAACCTCCGAAATAACTCCGTTAAAATCTTGAAGTGATCAGTCTTTAATGACATACCTGGCTGTCTTGAAAAAGGTCTTCTTGGCGTTCCCCAAGGTCTTCAATCAGGCACCTGGCCACTGCATCCCTTTTTTCCAACACTCTGGGCCTGTGAGGAAATGCATTTTAGTGAGAAGACTTATTTCTGCATTTTCATATTCTTGAATGAAACATTTAAATAAATGTACCTCATCAATTGTGCTCAGAAGAGGGCGCATCCTGGAGCCAGCATCTCCTCCTTTGGCACGCATCAGCTGGAGCGAGTGGTGTTAGTGTACCCATCCAGTTTCAGCATCAAAGTCTCTTCCAGTGAAAGAGTTGTTATGTGTCGGAACTCCTCCTTGATATAATAAAGAGCATAGGGGACAACACTCATTACTCACAACTCTGACAACAGTGTGAGTTGAAATGGAAAAATAATAAACCTAATGTTCTCACCTTAGCCTCATTGAATAAACCAGGCCATCTCTCCTTGAAGACACTGACACGTGGGCTGAGGGTCACCACCTCCACTCCACTACGAATTGTCTGCAGGATTTAAAATGTATAGGACTTAGGTGCCGTCTCTGAGGATGTTACACTTATATTCACATTTCTTACACTGAACATAACCAACAAAATAACACAATTAAACATTTTTAAGTAGAGAAATCCTAAAATATATAACAATGAGCTTTGGCTCTGCTCCGTGGTAATCTATCCAGTCCTCACGATAATATACAGTAAGCTTAATGTAAACATAAGTCTATAGGCTATTGCTGCAGCTATACCTCAAAAAAGACAAATTAATCATAAATCATTATTACTGTGGCTTGGCAGAATATACGATGGTTATTTTTCACTAAGAGATAGTCGCAAGATAGTTGTCTCAGTATTTATCGTTTCATGCACGCTCATATGAATACAGACACACGAGGAAACTGACGGCCGACGTTAGATAGACTAAGAGAGATGCTACAAGCTAGCTTCAACTTAGTTAGCCTTGTGCATCATTTGAATGTGTCCCCCGCAAACCGTTACTGTACTCAATACTACTCAACCGGGTCAGAGTTCGTCATATTACTTGAACTGACATGCTATTTAATAAACGGCTACTGATTTTTGCAGTGTGCATCACCATTGGATACTGTGTGGAAAATAACATTGGACAAACACACCTTATATAGAGGACGACCAACTTCAAAGGTTGATTTAAACGAATGCCGCCTTCCGCGCGCTGTTCTTGTTAGTACTTAGCTAGCAAACAATAGCCTTCTCTGCTAAGCATGCACGATGCTAACGTGAAACACAACTTGGCTGGTTAACTTACATTAATATACAACTGTCGCCGTGACGCTTAACTCATTTCAGACGGCATGCCGTCAACATGCACATTATTGCTGTAATAACAATTATTAACAATATGGAGCTAGGGCTGGGCGATTTTTTCGGTTTTAACGATTAATTTGCATTTTTACTTTCCTACGGTTTGTGAAATGGCTGAACCGAAAAATCGCGATTTAAAAACATTTCTAGACTCCGCAGATTTGTTTTGCTTTAAGGGACTCCGTAGTAGCTTACTCTCTCACTTTCCAGAACGCGCACAAAACTCAGCCACATTGCCTGTGTTTACCCGATCTGCAGCTCTGTGTACACATATATCACTTAAATTATTCAATACACCCTTTGTACTGAAGTATTCAAGAGTAAATAACGTTTAATATAAATGATTTGCTGTGGCCAATTGTTTTCATTGCATTTACAGACCCGTGTAAATCTCTGATACCACCCAATGAATGCATTGACTTGCTTGTAGAACCACGCTACACAAAACAGATAGCAACACCTATACAAACTATTAAAAAAGGGGCTACTGTATCGACCTATATAAAGTATATAAATATTTTCTTTTTTTCAAAATACCAAAAATATCTTGCATTTTAGCCATGCCTCATTTCGCTCCATTTGCTTTTTCCAGCGCTGTTTTTGCAGGGGCTGATTCTGTGAGCTGCAGCTGACCACGCCCCCCTGCAGGAGAGGGGAGCGTGCTCTGAGATCAGCTGCTGGGCGGTCTGTAGAGGGGGAGAAAAAGAGATCTCCGTCCTCCGTGTTTTATTCTTATAGAAGTAAGAAGAGAAGTAATGGGGCAGAAACCCTCCTTTTTACGCAGCGGTCCAGACATAGACATCAAACGGCGACACATATTCAGTTGGCAGTTACTTTGGCATTAGGGCAGGGATATCTAGATACTTCCCAAGGTCTGACATCATGAAGTGTGCTACTTTTAAAGCAAGCAACGATGTTTTCAAATCTGTAATCAAAAAGCTCCTCAAAAACACTATCGAAGCAGTTCCTGCCGTTGCTACGTTAGTTCAAACAGTAACAACGGACTAATTTTCTTAGCGGATGCATGTCAATTTAAATCAATACATAAAACTATTTTTTAAGTCAATCAAATCATTTTCTAAATCCATAAAAGCATTTCAATTAATATTGGGAGTCATGTCGTTACTTTGTTGAGAATGTGGCCATGTGTAATAAGCGGGATGATGTGCACATTGCATAATGTGCTTTCATGCCGATCTAGATCCCTCCGCAAAAAAAAACAAAAAACGGCAAGTTCGCGGGCGAGAGCCGGCTCCCGTCGTTCACTTAAAAGAGCCTTGGTCTGGTTTGTTTAGAAAAAAACAGAAACAAATTGAGGTTTAAATCGAAAATTGTCCATTAGTTAGAAAAAAATCGCGATTTTATTTTTAGGCCAAATCGCAAAATCGTGCTTTACTCTTAGCTCCTATGTTAGCTACAGCTATCTAGCATCAGTGACAGACTTCCAGTGAGTAATATATGATAATAGATGAGAACACACTTACATTCCTTGTCTAATAGTGAAGCAAGCTGACAACAAGTCTTGTGATGAACCTCAAAAAACGTGAACATTTATATGTAGGACATGATAGACAGTAATATCTTACCTTCCAACATTTCCACACACCAGGAGGAGGGAGGCGCGAAAGAGAACCTTTCCTCTGGCCTGCAGCCAAGAATCACCGCAGACGCATGCGCAAAGGGGCAGTGTGGGCCTAATGTCTTCAAGTAGATTTTACCCAGATTGTTTGTGTTTCAGTTGGTACTGTCAGAAATTAGGTAGTGTAGGTATAATTTACCCATTCAAATATACTAACAATGCTCACTTATTGAGTACAATTTAAATGATTTGCTTGGATAATATATACTACCCTCCAAAATCCTTTTTTATAGTGTACAATTTGACATGTTTGAGGAATGACTTTAAATATGCCTCCAGTAGTGAAGAGAGGCAGTCTGTTTTTTCTGCGGCACGCCAGGAGGTAACCTCAAGGCCCTGGTTGAGGGAGTTGCTACCCGAGTGGGTGGAGGACTTTTTTGGCAGCTTTGAGGTTAAACCTGATTCCCGGCCTGCTAGCCCCAGGCATGCTAGCTCCATATCTCCCAATTCCCAACCTGGCACCATACGCCTTGGTGGGTTCCGCCTGAAGTCAACCCGTGCTTCTGCCCCAGTTCCTGCTCCTGTCCAGGAGTTGTATTCCGGAACTCGTCTGGCTTATGGAGGTCCACGGAGTATTCAGGCGCTGCTAAGAGGAGTCGTCGCAAGGCCAGGCTAGCAGCCCCAGCAGCCATGGTTCCAGACCCAGTTCTGGCCCAGCGGCCATGGTTCCAGACCCAGCTCTGGCCCCAGCTGCCACAGTCCCATCTCAAGTCTCCTCTCGAGTCCCCTCTCCAGTTTCTTCTCAAGTCCCCTCTCCAGTTCCCTCCCGAGTCCCCTCTCCAGTTCCCTCTCGAGTCCCCTCTCCAGTTCCCTCTCGAGTCCCCTCTCCAGTTCCCTCTCGAGTCCCCTCTCCAGTTCCCTCTCGAGTCCCCTCTCCAGTTCCCTCTCGAGTCCCCTCTCCAGTTCCCTCTCGAGTTCTCTCCTCTAGTCCCTCCTCTAGTCCCCTCTCTAGTTCCCCTCTCAAGTCCCCTCTCGAGTCACCTCTCAAGTTCCATCTCTAGTCCCTCCTCTAGTCACTTCTCGAGTTCCCTCTCCAGTCCCCTCTCGAGTCCCCTCTCGAGTTCCCTTCTCTAGTTCCTTCTCTAGTTCCTCCTCTAGTCCCTCCTCTAGTCTCTCCTCTAGTCCCCTCTGGAGTCCCCTCTCTAGTTCCCCTCTCGAGTCTCCTCTCAAGTCCCCTCTCGAGTTCCCCCTTGGTTCCCCTCTCGAGTCTCCTCTCAAGTCCCCTCTCGAGTCACGTCTCAAGTCCCTACCCAATGTCCTGGTCCGTTGGAGGTTCCGCTGGGGGTCCTGCCAACTCCATGTCCTGTCCCGTTGGAGGCCCCGTCGACTACTCCTCTGTCGGGGGTCCTACCAATCGTATGTCTGTCCCGTTGGAGGTCCCGCCGTCTGCTCTCCTGCCGGGGGTCCTGCCAGCTCCGTGTCCTGTCTCGTTGGAGGTCCCGCCGACTACTCTCCTGCCGGGGGTCCTGCCAACCCTTTGTCCTGGTGGCCCTAGTTTTGTACTGTGCAAGCTTTTTTTAATGACTTTACTGAACTGCTGTCTATAGTGTGTATTGACTTTTACCGTCTAGTCATTGTTGGTGATTTTAACATCCATGTTGAAAACCCCCAGGACAGAGGGGCTAAATAACTGTTTTGTGTTCTTGATAGCTATGGACTGACTCAGCATGTGACGGAGCCCACGCATAATAAGGGATACACTCTGGACTTAATTCTCTCTAAGGGTTTGAATATCTCTGAGGTTGTGGTGACTGATGTTGCACTCTCTGATCATTCCTGTGTTTTCTTTGAGAGCTCTATTTCTGTTCACAAAAATGTTCAAAAAGAGGTAACCACAAAGCGATATTTAACTGAAAATACTAGGGAAATGTTTACTCAGAATTTTTCTTCCACACTTGCCCCTGCTAACATCTCAGTAAATGAGCTAGTAGATCATTTTAATTCAAAAATGAAAAATGTTATAGATGCCATTGCTCCAACTAAGGTAAAGGCAGTGACTGGCAAGAACATATCTCCATGGAGAAAGGCCATGACCGTGAACACAGAAAAAAGAGAGTGTCGAAAAGCTGAACGCAGGTGGTGAAGAACGAATCTCCAGGTTCATTTTGAAATCTATAAAGAGAGACTTGGCCTTTATAATTTGGAATTGAAAAATGCACGACAGTCTTTCTTCTCTGACATCATTACCAAAAACAAAAACAACATTTAGAAAATCAGACAAGCAGTCAGTGCCTCTGTGTCATTGTTTGGTTGTGGCGGCTGCAGTGGGCTTTTCGGGAAAGAAACTTAATTACACTCCAAAATGAGGATAAAGTTTGCAGACGGAAAAACTGTCTAATCAGCTAAAATGGGTTCAATTGGTAAAACTGAATTTACTCTTCGAAGTATGCCCACATCATGCTAATCCAATGCAGAGTTTTTTAGGGGGGGGGGTAATTTTTGCAAGCAATGTCCACCTTTAAATGTATCAGTGTGGGTGATATTTAATGTTTTCATAACAGTGGTATCGACAACTGCCGATGTAGCTGCAACAACACCTACAATTGCAGCACCCACAACTGCAGCACCCACAACTGCAACACCTACAACTGCTGCACCCATAACTGCTGCACCCACAACTGCTGCACCCACAACTTTAGCACCCACAACTGCTTCACTTACGACTGCTGCACCCACAACTTTAGCACCCACAACTGCAGCACCTACAACTGCTGCACCCACAACTGCTGCACCCACAACTGCAGCACCCACAACTGCTTCACCCAAAACTGCAGCACCCACAACTGCTTCACCCACAACTGTTGCACCCACAACTGCTGCACCCACAACTGCTTCACCCACAACTGCTGCACCCACAACTGCAGCACCCACAACTGCTTCACCCACAACTGCAGCACCCACAACTGCTGCACCCACAACTGCAGCACCCACAACTGCAGCACCCACAACTGCTTCACCTACGACTGCTGCACCCACAACTGCAGCACCCACAACTGCTGCACCCACAACTGCAGCACCCACAACAACTTCACCCACAACTGCTGCACCCACAACTGTTGCACCCACAACTGCTGCACCCACAACTGCTTCACCTACGACTGCTGCACCCACAACTGCAGCACCCACAACTGCTTCACCCACAACTGCTGCACCCACAACTGATTCACCCACAACTGTTGCACCCACAACTGCTGCACCCACAACTGCTTCACCCACAACTGCAGCACCCACAACTGCTGCACCCACAACTGCTTCACCCACAACTGCAGCACCCACAACTGCTGCACCCACAACAACTTCACCCACAACTGTTGCACCCACAACTGCTGCACCCACAACAACTTCACCCACAACTGCAGCACCCACAACTGCAGCACCCACAACTGCAGCACCCCACAACTGCTGCACCCACAACTGCTTCACCTACGACTGCTGCACCCACGACTGCTTCACCTACGACTGCTGCACCCACAACTGCAGCACCCACAACTGCTGCACCCACAACTGCTGCACCCACAACTGTTGCACCCACAACTGCAGCACCCACAACTTCTTCACCAACAACTGCTGCACCCACAACTGTTGCAGCCACAACTGTTGCACCCACAACTGTTGCACCCACAACTGTTGCACCAACAACAGCAGCACCCACAACAACTTCACCTACGACTGCTGCACCCACAACTGCAGCACCCACAACTGCTGCACCCACAACTGCAGCACCCACAACTGCAGCACCCACAACAACTTCACCCACAACTGCTTCACCCACAACTGTTGCACCCACAACTGTTGCACCCACAACTGCTGCACCCACAACTGCTGCACCCACAACAACTTCACCCACAACTGCTTCACCCACAACTGTTGCACCCACAACTGTTGCAACCCACGAACGTGCAGCACCCACAACTGCTGCACCCACAACTGCTTCACCCACAACTGCTGCACCCACAACAACTTCACCCACAACTGCTTCACCCACAACTGTTGCACCCACAACTGTTGCACCCACAACTGCTGCACCCACAACTGCAGCACCCACAACTGCTGCACCCACAACAACTTCACCCACAACTGCTGCACCTACAACTGCAGCACCCACAACTGCAGC